AGAGAAGGGAGATGGATAATAAGAAAAAAATAAAAAATTTTTTTGTGAATTGTTTAAAGACTTTGGTAGAATTTATACTTCGAGTCCGCAGTTTGAAAAAAGAGATATTATTTTTGTTATGTTCTACCCACCCGATGACCCCCCCCCCCCCCCCTCCACCCTGCCCCCTTGGATACCAAAAGAACCCAAGGAACCCAAAGGCTAAAAAAAAGTAAAAACAAAGCTGCCTCTCTTTGTTATAATGGACAAAATATGGCAAGTTAAAATGTGTTCCAACCCAATTTTTTTGGGAATTAGTATTTCTGGAATTATGTCTTCACTATAAAACAATTAAAGAACAACCCGTGAATACATTTTGTCCTCAATTTTTTTTTGGAGGGGGGTGGGAGGGGGGGTCAAGATACCCCTAGGTATACTCAGTTAAAAAGTAAGAAGGGGTACTTCTCCAAGGACAGCATTTGTTGGGGGGACACTGCTCATGAAGTTGTGTCCCACTAATGGCTGGAGAAGGGGTCCAATAAAGCAGCTCTTTGCTTTAGATTTTTGATCTTGGACACAGTCCCTAATATTAACCCCCAGGAATGTTCACCAACCGATATCTCGGACAAATTATTGACCCACTTGAAAAAATCACAAAACATTTGAAAGAATGCAAATTGATATCACGAGTAAAATTCCTGTTGTTGTCACTGTAATGGTTGCATGAGGTTCTTTTCATCGAGACCTCATCCCCCAAAATCTCGACATTTCACCCCCCGGTCAAAGGCCTGGCTACTAAGCATAAAAATAAAGAATTTGCTACAAATTTAACGTTTTTAATCAGAATTATATAACGGCCAATTTACAAATAAAGCCTTCAAACACCATTAGTTACGCACCGATTTGCCCTTGAAATCAAAGCGTTGAGACTGAAAGAAGGGGGAGATTGAATTGTTGAAAGCGTTACCAATAAGGACTTATGCATTGAAGAGCTTATAGGGTGAGAGTCAAGATCTCACCGAATGTAAGGCAAACCATTACCACAAGCACTTCTAAAACTTCTTAAAACGATACCTTCTACAGCTCTTACTGTTTGATCCACCTATAATCGCTACTAACCTTGCAAAATAGATGAAAAACGAGAGAAAAACCAACCATGCCTTCCGCGCGCCATCTTTGAATTAAGCTTAGTTCCCAGTGCCCCAAATCGACCACAATGCGCGGCCTCCCGGCTCTTCGCTGAAAAAAGGGGCCCTGGTGGGTGCATGTATTTGCTGCTCAAAAAAATAAAATAGACTTGCTATCTTTTCCGCGACTTTGTTGCTCAAATCTACCAAAAGAGCACAGAAATAGATGGAGATAAACTTTATGCGGGGTTGTTTTGACAAAATAGACTGAATGATACATAGACTCCGGATTTTTTTTGTGTGTGTGTTTATGTGGGTGTGTGTGTGCGTGTGATGTACTAGAATTGTAAGTAGTGTAACCATTGTAATTATTAGTAGTACGAGCATCGTATGGATGGTATTGTCAGTATAGCCAATATTGTAAATAGTGCAAGTATAGTGAATATTGCTAGTAGTATTTAGTTTTCAGTAGTGTTTAGTACTGTAAACATTTAATATATGTCTGTAAGGCAAAAAATAAATAAAAAAATAAAAAAAAATAAAAAAAAAAAAAACATAGACTCCGGATCGGACTGTCAAATAGAAAACAAAGGCGAAATCGCTCGCTCATTCTCTTGTGTTTTTCCTTTTTCTTTCTTTTTTTTCTCTTTTTCTGACTTTACTTAAAATTGTGAACTTGTGGCGTCAATTAGGGTATTATTATTTTCCGTATTAAACCTGGACCGGCTCCGGGACCGTGGTGCTTATTTAGGAGCAACTTTTGTCTGAAAGCGGTGTTTTTGCCTAATTGGTGGCGCTTATTCGAGTAAATACGACATTATGCTTTGGTTAGGTGATTTTGCCCGAGTCTTAGCTTTTACTGTTGCGATTATAATTTCCTCTGAATGTTATTTGTCCACGCTTTCTGCTAGCCGCGTTCAGTGCAGGCGTATATTCAGGCAAGTGCGCACCACAACCCTAGTGAGAGTTAGTGCTCACTGTGTTCCCTAATTATCAGTTTTCAAGTAACGGTCAAGAGCCGTAACTTACGTCTTGAATTGAATGGTCGAAACAGTTCATCAGTTGATTGGAATGAAATGTCTGATTGTAGGCATCCCCGCTTCAGGAATCTCAATTCCACTGTCTCTGTTGATGTTGTTGGGGTGAAGTCTTATGTCAATAGCCCCTTAATTCTAGGAGAGTGCCAGTGACTGGGTCTCCGTCAATAAGGGAGTTAGCTAATCTAGCCTGCCAGCAAAGCTCTCCAATTATGGCGAGGCCAGAAGCAGGGCGCGAGAGAACGCGCGAGCGTGCAACAAAGCGCGCATGCCGCTCTCGCGTGACTTCTCGCGGCTCCCCCAAGTGGAGAGATTGCTCGCAGGCTATACCCTATTAGCGTGTTCAGAAACAGCTGAGGTTTGACTTCTTTTATCCCTATCGCGCTCTTTCGATCCGTTCATGCACAGCACAAGACAGCAGCCGCTGAGCCTATAATAATACCAACAGCTGATGCCGGCTTTCGATTGAGACCCACCGGCACCATGAGCGAGAGGTTCGTGATTCATCAATCACTACAAACCACGATGGAACAAACAGTCTAACTCAGTCTTACTCATTTATTTATTCCACAATAATCTCTTATACCAATAGAGAAGAGCCTGAGTAGTTACGTCTTGTAACCATGGTAGCAAAATTACTGGATCTCAACAAACTGTGATCCTGCAAACATGGCAGTGAAAACGAAAAAATTGACAACTGACTTTTCTGTGCATGGTTGCACTCAGAAACAAAACGGTAGCCCATACTTTTCTTCCATCGTTCAAAAATAGAAATGGCTGCCTCCGTTAAGAAAAATTGTTGAGATCCAGGCCAAGGTTGTTCAAACATTGAATAGCGCTATCCACCGGATAAATCTCTATCCAGCGGATAGCGTAATTGATTTCCGTAATACTAATCCGCTGGATAGTGATTTATCCGGTAGATAGCGCTGTCCAACGTTTCAGTAACCGGCCGGAAATTTAGCTGCCATGGTAACGTGACGTCACACGTCTCTCTATTGTAGAACACTTCAGGAGGGGCCAATCATTTTCTCTGTTATCAGGAATCGCTGTAAAACAGACACCTCTCTGGAGCAGACACCTGGAATTGCTTCCTTGTTATTACTAAGTCATTTTCTTGGAATCCCTGCGACACGGACACCTCCCCGTCGATCTTCAATCGCTTTCTGTGAGTCTCTTTAAGACGGACACCTTCATAAGAAGGCGGGGCACCAAACATTGGTCCTTGTTCTTTCTCAGTCGTTTTCTTGGAATCCATTCGACACGGACACCTAACCGCCGCTCTACAGAATCTTTTTAAGACGGACACCTTCCTAAGAAAGCGGAGAACCAAGCGTTGGTTCTTGTTGTTCCACAGTCATTTTCTATATGAGTCTCCAAAAACGGACACCTAGAGTTCATTGCTCCCCGCTCTACACCCATTTTCTTTAACTGACACTTGGAGTTGATCCCTGTCGTTATTTAGTCGTTAGTTTTCGAGCAAAATTATCTCTAAAAAATTATCCCTTGAACAGCCACCTAGATTTTATGTTCCGAGGGGATTCTTCAGTAGTTTTCCTAGACAAAAACCTTGAGCTCTCGCTAGAAGAACACATCACAGTGTCGGTGTTATAAAGTAGAGATCAATGTACGTAGGTTCCTTTTTTTTCGTGAGGAAAGGAGTTATTCAGCACTGGCTAAATGCTGTAAATAATCAACATTTTTAAATCATCGAGCTGGTTTTCAGAACGAAAGGCTACATGTTAATGGAAGAAAAAATATTTTTGCGAGACCAAAGTTTTGATAACACTCTCCCAGCTTGGCACGTTATTCTAAAGTCTTGGTTATCTTTTCCAGCCCGGGAATGAGAATTTTTTTGGAAATCGAATTCCAAGGAGCGGCGATAGTACACGGGAGTTCCAGCCTCCGCTTTAACCATTTCATTTTCTATCGTTAACTTAAAGCTTTCCTCACTCTTCAATCTCAAAATCAAAAGTTGCAAATCTAGTCCTCGGGGCTTTAACACGGAAAAGGCGTCTCTCACGGCGCTGCGATAGTTTACCCAAAATTACTCCGACCTGTAGTTTTATTGTCTCAATTAGGCGACACAAATCCTAAAATCAATCTACGGCAACGGAATAAAAAAACTATCAACTAGGAAGGAAGTAAGGAACTTTTGACATGCGAAGAATTGGCATGGGATTGTAAATAATTAAGCGAGAAAACGAAGAAAGGCCAAAATGTTTCGTCAGATCGTTTGTAAATTTTTGATCCATCTCTCAGAGAATTGAGGGTAATAGCCTTTGACTGCGCGTTCAATTATTTAATGAAACTTAGAATTAATTGAAACATTTGCTTATTTCTAAGATATCGTCTAGTCTGTTCCTTTTCCACTCAGCACTTTTGACCTTCACAATATCAGCTTATAAAAAACAATATTAAGCAACACCTGGAGATTTCTGATCAAATTCTGTTCGCTTATCAAGCCGCAACATTCACTTAACCCTGCCGGCTGATGAATTTACGTTTTCTTAATCTAAAAATGGTGGATTAACCGGGTAAAAAGGCATAAGCGATGCGATTTAATTCGGAAGAAACAAACTCTCATTGGTTGGCCTTGAACGGTTAAAAAACATGGTTACATTATTTGAGTCTTGATGTAAAGAGAAATAGCGGCTTTTTCCGAGATCGACTGTGCTTTTCTGTTTTTGATATGAAGATTTTTTCCAAGGAAGACAAAGACACGGCTAGCTTCCTAGCTGCAGTGTTTTGAATTTCCGCAGCGAGATCTTCCCTGAGTGCACCTGTTTTTAGCGACAATATCCCGCCATCTGTCATAGTGAAAACACCAAAAGCGGACATAATATCTATATTAGTTTCCGACGGTGAAATGTGATTGGAGGACAAGCGCACTCATTTTGAAATCAAGCGACTGTCAATCAAGTTGTATGTTAATTTCCACTTCAGTATTGGTGAAGAAAATTTATGCAATTTCGATTCGAAAAAGAAAACATACACTCAACAGAATCTTTGACTCGAACTGGGAGTTGGCTGTTGGTTAGTAAACGAAAGCCCAGGTTGTGTTCGAGGTATTTAAACCGATCGAGAGGTAAAATATCGCGAGTTATTTACCATATGTGGTTCGATTAGGAAACACCGATCGCTCACTATCTTTAATATTTGATCTTATTTTGTTTAAGGTTCCAAAAAAACTTTCACAAAATGGGGCTAGATTGTGGAATGAGGTGCCTGAAGTTTATGTTGTGCGTTTTTAACCTCGTATTTTGGGTAAGTGCGGAGTTTAATCCAGTTTTAGGGGATTGATTTTCGCAGCTAACTTTTCATGTACGTAACACCGTTTTGTCTTCATTTTCTTAGGAGAACAAAAACATCATGGATTCAGCTTTTTGATCGCTGTGTGTGGCTTTGACCGCTCATTAATGTTTAAGCTCTGTGTCACTTCTATAACTCAAATTTATTACTAGAAAAACAAATTTTTGCTTTACTGACCCAGATAATATTTTTACAGCCGCTTTTAATAAATCACCAATTCGCCAACAATCTACCAAAAAAAAATTTGAAAATTTGACAGGCCTTTTTCGGGATATTAAGGCAACATTATACTCTTCACTTGTTACTGGTAAAACTGAGTAAATTATATAAGTTACATTTTATTTCGCATTTTACTGCTTTCTCCCCCTATTTTTAATATAACAAGATAGATGAATAAGTTGTTACAATAGCTAAACCTTGTTTTAACTTTCTTGTCACCTACTTTATACCTTCGAAAAGAAGCTGTAGTTAGTTTTTTCTCTTGATTTACCTGAGTGATTCCTTCGGAGGAAATTTATGAAGCAATTTTCGGCTTAAAGAACATATTATATTCACTTTCCTTGTAATTCATTAGCTTATATCGCCCTTGAAAATTTTCATCTTTATTCAAGATAACTTCTTCGCGTAAAATAATCTTGATTTATTGTTCAGTTGCCAAACGCGACTATCCTGAATCCGCCATATTTGTTGACGTTGCTTTCCCCCCCCACAAAAGCTCATTTTTTTCATTTCCGGTCAAATAAAACAAAGAAGAAACATCTTCATTTTGACTTGCGATTTCTTAGCCTCATCATAAAACCTTTTGTAGATACTTCTTCCCCGCAAAACCGAGCGATTCAGTTCCCGTTTGACAGTTTTTGATGGTAACATACATCCGCTTCGCAAAGGGAAAATTGGGGTTTCAACGATATATATGGTGCAAAATCCAGAAAAAATATTAATGAAATTTAGACGTTAATTTACCGAATAAGGTCCGCAAAAGATTGTCATTCTTAAATCTTAATGGTCAGGTGGAGGATATAAATACATGACATCTATAAAATAGATCGACAAGAAGAGTGTTCATATAAGCAACATGTTCATTGTTAGTTAGTAAGCTACTTGTCCTGTATATGGCTCATTTAATTATCGGTACTTAGTAACCAGGGCAGCATCATAAATCAACAAAAATGCCAACTGCAATTAAACCAGAGCAAATCTTTTGTTTTCATTGATCTCAAACCGACTACAGCAATGGTTTCTTCACAGAACTACCTTCGTACTAATTTCCCTACGTGAGAGATTCAGTAATTTAAGCTGCAAGGACCTCGTTAATGTATATTCTTTACCCTTCTGAATCGAATTGAGAGGGTTTTTGGTTAAAAAATATCACTCTCATTAATTTTCTTTAATTTATATTATTGTTTCGTTATTGCAGAACTTATGAGCAGCAAAATACATAAAAATATTTATTAAGTTACGCTCAGTTTAGTGTTAAAGAGGTTTTTCGGCGCCTGATCGATTCGCTTGTATTTATTTGATCAGCGACACCGAAAGATAACAAGTGTATAATACGTATTCTATCTTTATTTCCTGTTTTCAAGGAGGAATACTGAACTTTATAAAACCTAGTTTGTCGGATTAAGGGCCATGGATTATTATACATCTCTGATTTATCCAGAAAGTATTCATTACACACATTTTGAGCTAAAATTATAATCACTGATAAAAAAAAATCGGTTATCACCTCTAATACAATTTAATGTATTTTCATAGCTCAGCGACATAATTTTCACTATTCAATAAATAGGTTCTGTAAGAATGATTCTTGGCAAAGCGAACGTAACAAAAAACATTTAGTAGTGAATAAAAACAGGAGCCTACTGACCAAAAATGAATCGACAAATCAATGAAATACAGTCCAGAGGAATTAAAAGAAAAAGAATTATTCTTGTAAATTTTGTAATTTTCACAGGAATTGCAATGGAAATTGTCAGAAATGTGTAATACAGTGCGAATAAAGTTTTTGTCCTCTAAAAGTATTGCTTCTTGGAGGTCAAATGCGCTTTATTTTCACTCAATCATACACAACGAGCAATGGTAAGCGGAACGTTTGCAGGGGGATTCTAGATCTGAAAAGAGAACTGTAAAGTTTGTTAATTGGCAAACTACCTGAAAATATAAGATTTGTTAGGACTTCACAATGCGGTTTTGTTAAAAAAAACCGACTTTTAGTTCGACCAATTAACATTATCTATGAAGGGGTTTTGAAAAGAAAAAATGTGCGCTAAGTCGGTGGCATGGGTGCCGGATGAAATACAAAAATTTGGTCTTCACTCAGAAAAATTTATTAGCGGACGTTTTCGAAGAGCTAGCCGAAAAAAGACTCCCTGGAAAAAAATAAGCATTGTTCAGTTCACATCTCATTTTAGACACCGACAAAAATAAAGCGATACTAAAGCAAGCCCGTGTTCACTTTTCACACGAAGTGTACGATACATGACGATATATGTTGATCGGGTCATTTTCGTCTACAGGCCGCTGGTATTGCAGTGATGGCCGTGGGAATCTTCGCACGAGTAAGCGCCGGTAATTACTCTGCTCTTATGGATGAAGGTGGATTCAAGACAGCAGCTAACATCCTCATAGCCGCGGGGGCACTGGTGATGATCATTGGTGCTATAGGGTGCTGTGGAGTGGTGAAGGAAAAGAAATGGTTGCTTCTCCTGGTAAGTTGCGATATAGTAAAACTAGGCTTAATACAGCGATAAGGAATTGCGGTTAATGACCAACAACGCGCACGGTAAAAAAGCACCTTAGCTTGGCTTGGGAATTTTTCCGCCTGGCGACGCCGGCTTAGGAAGTCTAAGCGCTGAAGAGTTTGATCTCGTCACCCTGCGAACAGAGCCACCTTCAGTCTGTGTACAGACCCCCCCTCCCCTCAGTCTGTACACAGACTAAGCCTCCTTTTGTGCGTTTGCGAGAGGAGAAGAAAAGGGGGCTCTGTCTGTATCCCGTCAAGCCTTTGAAGTCGCTAGGGCCCGTCAGCCCACGAGCGAGCATCCGTTTAATGATAAATCGATGGTCATAACTGAGCCCGCTTTACTAAGCGCATGGCTATTACGCCTGAGTTCGAACCCGTATCCTAGTAACATGAAGCGCTTGCTCAACAAGATCTTACTCGATTGATTCATGCAGAGTCTTTCTTAAATTTGCCAAAATCGAGCAAGTGAATGAAAGGCTCTGACAGCAGGATGGATGGTGTCGTTCCATTGTTGGCTAATAAGGCGCAAGTCTCTCTCCAGTATCAGGTACCAATTCATCCTGGATCGTCGTCTTCTTGTGTGCCCTTGGGAGTCCACACTTGAATGTCAGGTCTAGGGGGAGACAGTCACTTAGCATGTCCCATCCAGCTGAGCCCTCCTTTCCAAATGGAGCTTGTCCCAGCAAAAATTTCAAGCAGTCTCTGACTTCTGTCCTTTGTGACAAAATGACGCGATTTCATAATAAAAAAGGAGCTTATAAAGACACTTCCAATGGTAACCTATTGCGCTCTCTTTTTCTCATAATAAAAACTTTAGTATTCCTTCCTGGTACTGATGATTTTCATTTTGGAGATCGCTTCTGGTATCATGGCTTATGTTCAGAGAGACAAGGTAAACACTTCAATATAATTTCTACACCTTGCCCCAGTTGTTCATACAATGATAGCGCTTTCCACCAGATAAATCACTATCCATCGGATGAGCATTAGGGAGACTAAATGCGTTATCCATTGGATAGCGCTATCCAGCCTTTGAACGACCGAGACCTAGCCCGAGTTACCAAAAAAGGTGGATAACACTATCCAATGGATATATCTCTATCTCTATATTGAATCATTACTGAGTACGACCACTGTTCACTAATCATTTCATGCAATGATGCTTCCGTTAAGATCTGAATGAAGAATTATAACAAAGTTATATTGTGCCTACCACATTACCATTCGGCCTCTATATTTCAGGTAATAGATAAGATAGAACACGCCGTGAACACGACTATCACTGAATACTATGGACAGGCGGACAAAAACAAATTTACAGAGGCTGTGGACAGGGCTCAACAAGAGGTAAGAGGAAGAGTCTTGATAAAGTTAGCTGTAGAGAAAAGTCGAAAAATTATTCCAGCCTGAGAAAGATGTTGTTTCAGTCAGTGACACAAGTGGCTCGGAAGAGCAAATCCGAGTACTCGCAACAAGAGATCAACCGATGACCTTCTGGTTACTTGTCCCGATGCTGTACCAGCTGAGCTACAAGAGACTTGTGGGAACAAAACATCCTGCATACTCTTAGGACTGGATTTAACTACGCTACCTCGAGTGTCCACAACACACCCTCTGTATCGTGAGGCCCGGCGGACACGGGAGGAGAGAGGGAGCCCTCCCCCCTCACTTGTTTCCGTTGCGAGCTCCGTTCCTCCTTGCACCATATTGCCTCTAAGCGCCTGCTATGAAAGAAATATAATCTTGATAAATTAAAAATGCGCGCTGCTGAGAAATGAAAAACTAACGTTAGTCTCAAACGAAGCTTCACAAACTACCTCAACCTCTCTGTCAGTGAAGAAAAAATAACCTGAATTCTGTTACCTTCTGAATAGCAATGCATGATTCAGTCATCTGCAAGCGAAATTAGTCTCATTATAAACTGATAGTTGAGGAAATAGGTTTTCTAAAATACCTTTCTCTTCCAATTCGTAGGTCTAAGCAGTTCAAGTTTTCTTACAAAACTTTCCTTTCGGAATCTTTCTCGTAAAAGAATTTCTTTTACGACACTAATTCTAAGACGGCAATGCTTGCAAACATTTGTTTAGCTGAGTAAACGTTGGTGCACGTTACAACGCAACTGCAAATATGGCAATCACATGGGCACCCAACGGGAAATTTTGAGAAAAAGACCCAAAAACAACAACAGAGCATGAATAAAGCTTTTTGAAGCCATTTTAAGCATTTTGAGATGGAGATTGCTGTGAAAAATTTATCTGTCCCTCACTCCCAGCAAGACTGATGGAGAGTTCCCAGCCAGCAAAGTGCACCTACAACCTACAACCTGACTTACTGGGAAGCTTCCCAGCAGACGTATGTCCAGACATTACTGGCCAGTTTAGGTGTAGTCATACGGAAAAATTCAGCCCTTCAGTGGGGGTGGGGGTAGGGGGTCGATAGGAAATTGGGTGTGACCAAAGTGCGAAATTCACCCATACAGTGAGTGGGGTGGGGGGTTGAAGGGGAAAGAGGCTTCTGACAAATAGCAAATAGCAGCTATTCTAGACACCAGATCCCCTCACCATCATCAGGTCGAGCTAGCTCAGACAGCAACACTTTCCTTCCAAAAATCAGCTTTGCACTATTCAGTGTGTCTACTCAAGGACATATTGTTTTTTCCAAATCTCCCAGCCTGCAAAAATTTGTCTGAAGAACAGATATTTTGACGAACAGATCCATTGGGTACCCCTGCAATCACTGTTGATAAGTTCCATTGTTTAATTGGCTAGATAAGAACAAATTATTTCAGGTTGGCTAATGTCCGTTTTTTTTATAGTTGAAGTGCTGTGGTGTAGCAAGCCCTTCCGACTGGAAAAATTCCGAATGGTACAAGAACACTGGACAAAAGGCAAACGAAGACTATCCTGAGTCGTGTTGTAAGACAGAGGGTGACAAGTGCAGCGTGGGCAAGAATCCAGATATCTACGAAGACGTGAGTGTCAAAGAAGTAAAATGCTAAAATCTCGTGAATTTTAAGTTGTTGTTTGATTATTTAATAGTTTGAGTTGTGGTTTCCGTTCATGATCGTATAGAGTGTTTTAGAATGTCGTGACCAGCGTTTATTGTAGTAAATGTTAGTGTTTACGTAGGAAAAGTGTTGAACTCAGGTCACAGAACTGGTTTGATAGCTAAAATGGCCAACGTGGCGTCAAGTAGAAACTTTCAGCACGTTCCTTTAGAGCTGAGAGAATAGATTCTGTGTCTTTTATCATTCTCCAAGCCGCATCGTTTTGTGGTTGCCATGGAGAGGTTTCCCATGACAGCATTTAGTAAATGAGTAAAATAAAGAGGGAGGGTTTGGGTAAGAACAATGCATGTTGGTTGAGCAGAGCTGACCTTAGCTGTTACACAGTCTTGTAATCAGCGGCAACAGGATCGCGTCTTAGAGACAATCATCATTATTACCATTATTTTGAATTAACATTATCATTAAAATCGTCATCAATGACTCAACAAAAAGCCTCGAGGTTGGTGATAATTCAGTATTCATTATCATCATAATCATCATCAACACTAACATCACTACCAACATCATCAGCAATATCATCATCATCATCAACACCAACATCACTACCAACATCAATATCATCATCATCGTCATCAACACTAACACCACTATCAATATCATCATCATCATCATAACATCATTATCATCAACATCTTTATCTTCACGATCAACATCACCAACAGTGACCAAACTGATCAGCTATATCCATTTTCGTCTCCGCCTCGATGACCGTTCTTAACTTCCAGCTGGTAACTGCAAAGTATAAAATTTTAAATAAGTAATGATTTGGAGGTAGCACATCGCCAAAGTAGTTCTTCGTCTACCTGATTCCCGGTCGAACTGGAACTGGAAATGTTGTTTTTTGAGGAGAGGGGAAAACCAGAGTACCCGGAGAAAAACCTCGCGAAGCAAAGGAGAGAACCAACAACAAACTCAACCCACATATGGCGTCGACATCGGGATTTGAACCCGGGCCTCATTGGTGGGAGGCGAGCGCTCTCACCACTGCGAGATCCCTTGAACTAAGATGTTCAAACTAAGATGTACCAACTGTATGATATTGTTTTCTTTAAGGGCTGCTCTGAAGCACTGCAGAAGTTTGTTAAAGGAAAGATGGCCGTGATTGGAGGAATAGGAGTCGGGATCGCCATTTTACAGGTCAGAAATAACTTAAGTAATTGATAATGAAAGAAGCATTACTCCTTAAACGCGAACAATTATTTTGGTCATTTGAGGGGGTCGCTCTATATCAATAACTATTTTTCCTTTTTGCAGGTTCTGGGCGTGGTTTTTGCCATTTGCTTGTACCGATCAATTGGATACGAGAAGATATAATAACATCAGGAATCATGGGAATGGATGGGGACAAGTGTTCAGTGAATTGGATAAAAGGGAAAATTTGCGTTTAAAAATTATAAATTACGGAAGTTTATTTTTGTTCAGGCCTAGAGGCATTTGTTAATATGTGAATGTTTAATCCATCGAAAGGAATTCTTTAAGATATGATTATCACGCTTTTCTTTAAAGGCTGAATATTTTTCTCGAATGCGTGCGTTGTGGTGGCCTAGGACTCGTCCAATAACGGATCCATATTTTGAAGTAGGGGAGTGGGGAGAGGGTGGAACAGGGTAGGGTTGGGCCTCACGGACACCTCCCCTAGATTCAAACCAGGACCCATATTTGGAGCACATTCTGGACATTGCAAAATCGGAATAGGGAGGAATATCCTCTGAACGTTTCCTTGATGTTACGTTAGAGGAAATTGTTATTTTAACTATTTCTTACGCCACATATCTCTGGCAAAGCAAACACGACGTGTTTATGGTACTCCGCTTTTATGATCAGAATCACGCAGCATATAACGTATGACTAAAATGTACTCCACAAAGAACACATCGAAGTTTGCCGTCTAGTAAAAAATACAGCTGATGTTTTGCATCCGTTTCATTCGTATTAGAAGCCCATCACCGTGAAGTCCCATCTGCTATCAGTAAGTGTGACAGTTCCTCAGACTTTCAGTCTACTTACGGTTTGTTTTTGCGTTTGACACATCACCATCCACAATATTGCTGTTCATTTGCTGGGAATCGTCCTCTGCTCTGATTGGATGAATTTGATAAATCTATAAATAGCCTGAAAGTCTCACAAACTGTGACCAAGGCTTCGGGTTGATGGGCTTCCCTTTGTAACTAATGCTCTTTAGGAGTTAATCCTTTCGGTCCTTTCCCTCTTAATCTCCTGGGTAAAAGATACAGAGGTTGGCGCTCCCACGGCAACCAAGATTAAAGTTTTGGTTGCTAATAACGACATCGATCATTTGTGAAAGAAAAAAACACGTGTTGCCTGGCAGATCACATTCTACGGGTTAGAACTTGTCACATTGCTACAGATAAAGAAACAGGTGTCTCCAAGACCAAATTGATAGAATTAAAATGAGGGGATACTATTAGGCTAAGACACAAATCAACAACAGTCAGTGACTTTTACCCTTGACCTGTGAAACGTTGTCCCGTAAGAGACCTTTCCTAGCCTACGTTGCTGGTGGTTTTTTTTGGCTCCAAGAGAGTAGGGAAGCTGCGAAAACGCGAGGAAAAAAAACTTTCTGGTCGCGGCTTTGCCGTTCATTAGCGCGCTTGACAAACAAAGCCGCCCGCTACGCAGCCTAGTCTAGGCTAGCGTTGCCCATACATTTTGTTGAACTATTTATGTGGGTGAGGAAAAGGGAGTTCAGCAAAATTCGTTTGTGTTAGTTCTGAAGAGTATTGTATTATCAAAACAACTTCTTTGCTAGGAACTATACGTTGCGAGGCGATGAACCACTCAAGACGTGTAATGGGTTTTCTACAGGAGAGGATTGGTTTTCTACCAGAAATGGTATACCTCAAATGACAAATAAAATAACCTAGCTTGAAATAGGCGTTTGAGTGTTTTGTTTTTTTTATCAATTTCCCTGCTAAACTGTAGAAAAAAACATTTATTTTTAAAATAACACCAATAATAATAATAATAATGGTGATGATGATGATGATGATAATGATAATGAAAATCATTGATAATGATAATAATACTTATGGGTAGCGCCGATATCAATAGTCGCTATTTTCATCAGCTCTTATTTTGGTCTAAACCTCCTTCCCACCGGTAGCGTTATCCTTGTCCAGCCGTCAAGCAACGAAGACCTTTTTCCGCTGCTCGTTACCAGTCCACCGGGCAATGGTAATGCACGTCTGGAAACAATGGTCCTATCACAATCTCAACTTTGCCCGTTATTTATAAAAGAAGAATGAAATCGGAGTGTGAGGACTAAGAAATATAGCCACTGCTTGTCCCGGACAGGCCAGCTATAAAATGAGACAACTAAATTCACCATACAGCTTACCCCTGAAGTCAAAATATGGTCAAATATTACTTGGGTGGACATCATGCTGTATTCATCGATTACTATTCTTCAAAATTACGATACTAGAAAAACGTACTAACAAGAATGCAACCAAGGTTATAAACACATTTTCCGGTGTGAGCTTTAGTTGGAATTAACAAATAAAGAAAACTTGAAAAGGATGCCATGAAGACAGGTACATTTTAAAAATTGAGAAATCTATTACTTTTTGTCAGTAGGTTTGCTTAAAATGTTTGTAGGTGTGATCCTCTGACGAGAAACCGGGTGATGGAAATAAATTTGAAAGTAAACCGTGTGACTGTTAAGTGATGTATTTTTCTGATGATGTTTAACGGCTTTGCAGTAATGGCTACTGAAATAAACTTGTTAAATTCATTGACACAATTTGTCAAAAAAGCTATGACTTTGTAAAAACGATTGGTCACCTCCAGATGCTAATCACGTACCGCGTTATGAATGTTTTCTTTTAATGCATCGTAGCTAAAAGGAACAAGGCAAACCTCGGGAATGTTCCATCCAAAGTCTCCTCTGATGGTTGCTTACATCAGCATTACTTAATGCCATTCATGAATGACAAGGGAAGTTATTGCACGCCGGGGATTCGTTTGCTTGACAGACAAAATATTAGCACCCTGCTCCTGATGACAAGGGATGAAACATGTCAGGAAACAGCTCATTAAATTAATGCACCAGCTTTAGTGATTGCAAAGAAATGACAGCACTAACACCTGTTACTAAGATATCAAAAACATTGACAGTGTTCACAGGACGTTACTGCTCAACAGAATTTTCTGAGGAGGCACAAAGTGAGCTGATTTTTCTTATAGCAGTAAATATTTTTGTGTCCATTACCGTATTTCTGGGGACCACTCTGATCCTCAGTAGTTGTCCTACACAAGGAAACTTCAGGGTAGACACCCCCTCTAAAGATACATGACCCAACCTCACTTCACTCTGATCCGCCGTCCGACTGACTCCTTTATCGAAACCTGGCGATAACTGATCTCTGTGTTGGAATCATTACAGAACCTTAATTTTTTTGGTACGTTACATATTGATGTCCAGCGTGAAGGAAACGATTGATCCTTGCTACTACCCATATTTGTCATTTCTGCTTGGAGCCGGTGTTTTGTGCACGGTCAGTGTCTTTATTAACAATGATTGCAATATTTAAAGCGTGGACAGGCTTAGACTTAAATGAAACCTTTATCGTTCACCAGAAGAAACCTGGCTTAGCGTCCATAATGCAGGTTGCTCTTAACACAGTTTTTATTGTGTAAAAATGAAGTTTTAACTTTTGATTATTATGTGGAAATCCTATAGTGTGACCATTCAGCACTGACTTGTTTTCTTCTGCACCGGGTATTTTTTGGGAGATCTTTGGCCCTTCTGGAATTGAAATTACTGAACTTGAAAAAACAAACAAACAAACAAACAAAACAAAACTATTTGGGTGAATTCTAGGTCACAAAGCAAGACAGGGGTGCGTGTATTTTTCTTATGATTTGGCATGTTTTGTAGTCCATTTAATTCAAAGTTCATTGAAAGTCAACAAAAATGTTCTCTAAGAAAGTATTTGCCCTTGAATTTAACAAGGCGAAGCATCGCTCTATTCAGTTGAGCGCTTACTGGCTGATGCGGTGTTAGCTGCTTTTGTTGTGACTCTATTTGGGTAAGCAATTTGTATCACTAAAAGAATACAACACCACTTAACATTTTAAAATATTTAATGGCAAGCGGATAACGATACACAAAGCTTCTAGCGGGTTAATTAGTGCTCTTGTTTTCTAGTCGCGTTTTTTATACACCCATATAAGAGGAAAAAATGTAAAGCCAAACTCTATATATTGTTTCTAGGAACTCATAGAGAGAGCTGTGACGTCACTTTACCATGGTGGCAAAATTTCTGGATCTCAACAAAGTTTCTTGACAAAGACGGCCATTTCCATTGTCGAACGATGGAAGAAAAGTATGGGCTACCGTTTTGTTCTTGAGTGCAAAGTCACACATGTCATTTTTGGGGGGGGGGGGGTTTGTTTCTGCCAATTTTTCAGGACAACGGTTTCTTAAGATCCAGACATTTTGCTACCATGGCAACGTGACGTGCCGAATTCTCCTTTCTATTTATCATTACTTGCTTTAATTAGGTTAAAAAACCCACAGAACGTGGACGTTAATTTATCTAGCACGCTAATATTCACAAACACAAAAATGTTACGAATTTACACGTAATTACCTGTTATGTAAATTAATGATGTCATTAATCATTATCATTAAGTAATAGCAACTATCGGAACGTGATATTTATTAACGACATTTATCTATTTTTAAATTGCCATAAAGTTGGTGACCTGCTTAACGAAATGAACTCCTCTAACTACTTTCGTGGCACTCACACCACTCTTTAAAAACACTAAATTTACGCAAAGTACAAGATTGCTGCTTTAAAATTCAAAATATTTTCGCCCGAAAAAAACGAAGTTAAGCGGGTATTTCATTTACGAGTGCAACTGACATCTGACACCTCTGGTAATCGTTACAAAAAGCACAGTTTTCTGCGGACTGAACCTTGTTTACGGGAGACAAACGCCAGGTTGCGGTCGACTTTCTTCTAACAGAAACTTCCCAACTTGAACGAATACCCTGAGTTGGTCTCTACCGCTCCTATGTCACTTTCTTTGACTCTCGTTAAGATGGACACCTCTGATTGATTGTATTCCGGAATAAGGAAACGCTAACGCTTTGTTACAAATCTCTTTCTTGGACTACTTAAACGCTACATACATAGCATAGATATTGCAGTGCTATGAATGACAAATCAAATGATTTCTAAAGTTTATTTCATTTATTCCTGTTCCGGAATACGGTCAATTAGACAAGCCCTTACAAGTACACTAGAGCGGGTCTGTATATACCAGGAGAGATATAAAGCATT